TCTCATATTTACGAAGCTCGAAGCTCGATACTACACTGACAGTAACGTGCAGAACTTTAATAAAGCGGTATTATACTTAGGTGAAAGTGGCAAGGCTGTTGCGTACAATTTCAAAGATAAACACGCGGTGTTGTGGTAATTATTTGAGGGTATTTTAAAATAATGTGAAAATGAGACAATCGGGTTAAGAGACATATATTGTGCAATGTTAAAAAATAGATCAAGGAGAAGGAAAATCGAGGTTAGTAGTTTTTATTTAAGGTGTTCTAATTAATTACCGATTAAGTATATGATGTTTTTTGTTTTTTTTTTTGGCCCCAAATGTCTATGAACTAATTTTTTTATTTTCTTGATCTTGTAAAGCGATAAATTAAAATTACACTAGATGTTTTTCATGCATTGTTTATTCGTTATTAACTACGTTTCGTCAAAAGCTGCTTGGCCTCTTCAAGTCTAAACATTAAATAAATATTACGCAAATTTTTATTACAAAATCAACATGTCAGTTTAGCATCGCAATTGGTATGTATTAGTGAGATTAAAAATCGTAAATTACTTAAAATATAGAAATTTATTGTAAAAGAAAATAGAGAGAAAAAAAAACACACACAAAGGATAACTTCGTATTGAAACCTGAAGAGGCCAATAGCTGTTGGCGAAACGTAGTCAATAAAGAATGAATAATGCATTAAAAACATTTAGTGTAAATTTAATTTATCGTCCTACAAGATCAAGAAAATAATAATTAGTTCAATTACCGATTATATTATTAGGCTAAACATACAGGGACAAAGATTAGCATGTTTTGATTTACGAATAATACAGTAATATCAGCATATAGCAAAGAGCAGTTAGTGTTAGCTTTAAATAAAATGGAACCGGTATTGATAAAGAGTATGGTATTAAAATTAATAAAAATAAAACAATAAGAAATAGGTGAGATATTAGGTTGGTAAGATATCTTCTACCTGAAGGACTACAGACATATTATAAGCAGGAACAGTAGTTAAGAGGAGTAGAAAGAGGCATAGACCAGATTTCTGTTTGCAAATAATTGAAGATGTATTAGGTCGCTTTAATTTTCAAGAAATGCGAAAGTTGGTTTAAGGTAAGAAGAAGTGAAGGCGCATATCCAATCAATCTGAAGATTATAATGATGAAAATGATTAGGTATTTGGATTTATTTTTTTAACAATCTTGCCATTAATACTCAGAAGCGAATGAGTAGATATAGCAAAAATGTGAATATTCATTGAGTAAGACAATAACTTCGATCTTTCAGGCCTCAATTATTTAACCTACTTTTTGGAATCTTTTTTACTGCAACAATTAGGTCCAGTTAAGTAAATTAAACTTTATTGATGAAACCTTATAGTTATTCCTAGTTAATTAAAATTCTTTCCTTAAGTAAATGACGTTAAGGTAACTGTTCCTTAGAATTTCTTTGGCAAGAACAAAACTAACTAGGAAGCAATCTATCTTACTCAATCTGTTTTAATATTTCAATTAGTTTTGATGTATCTACATGTATATCTAATTGTTTAGTTCTCTGATGACTGCTTATTTTACTAACCTGGAGGTATTCCTTAGGAGAGTATTGTACTGTATTTTCTCTGATTATATATACGAGGGCGGTTTAATAAGTACCCGTGTTAGAAATGAAGACACCTCTTTTTTTTTAATTTTTTTTTTATTTTTCAACATAGTCCCCTTTTAGAAAGTTACACTTCTCCCAACGTCCCTGCCATTTTTTTTACAACTCCAAAAAATAATATTTGCTGAACTCTGCAAAATCCCCCCTGTCTCGGTGATGACTTCCTCGTTTGAGCTAATTTTTTTTCTCGCGAGTCATTTCTTCATGGTAGGGAACAAGACGAAGTCGCAAGGTGTCAAATCGAATGAGTTCATAACGTAATTCATGTAGTTTGGCGGCAACAACCCCTGATGAATGTGCCGGTGCGTTATCGTGTTCAAAACGCACCTTCTTTTTCGTTAAATGCTTCCGTGTCTTCTTCAATTTTTTTGTCAATGTAGTAATGTCCAGTGATCGTTCTTCCTTTTCCTAAAAAATCCGTAAAATGATTCCCTCGGTAACAACGTTTGCCAGGCTTCCTGGTCGTTCCTATCAAAACCGGATCTTTGGCTACGTTTAAATTCGTTGAAGCAATATCTAACTGTGGACGTAGATGGCGAAATGTCTCCATAAACAGTATCCAACTTTGTTTTCATCTCCTCGCATTTTTTCCCATCCAAAAACTAAAAGCGAGTTACCGAACGATACTGATCTTTTTCCATCTTAGCGAAAATAACGAAACACGTCTCAGTCGAATGGCCGCCAAATCCAAACTAACCTATCAGTCAGTCTGAAATTCGTTTTGACGTGGTTTGATAGATGGCAGCACACGATGACAACACCAATTTCCCTCAGGAACGTCCTCCGTTCTTCAAACACGGGTACTTATTAAACCGCCCTCGTATATGTATTCAATGCTTTCGTCATTCGTGATCCATAAAATTTATGTAGATTACTTCTACTGGAATATAATTCCTCAAAGAAGTTGCTCAAATGAAACGGAATAGAATTCTACCGGTTATTACTTTTCTTTAGTTCGAGTAGCTGAAGAAATTATTAATAACCCTTTCTTTGCGATAGGAATATTCTTACTCAATATAAAAATTTATTACATACTGCAATAGTATTAGCTATAGGTATTGAATAATGCATGACTCTTTTTATTGACAAAAAGTACTTCCTGTGCCCTCTCTGTATGCAAAAATATGAAAAAGCGCAATACAGTAAGCGAATTGAGCTAAAGGTAGTAAGTGCCACGTGAAATGTTTTAATTCGCATTGTAATTCGAAGTGCATCTCTCGAAGCGGTAGCATGCAAATAGTAGTAAGGTAACACGTATTCTGCAGTCAGAGGTGTTGAAATGTATCAGAATGTGTGAATAATATAATTAGCGAATTAATCACATGCGTGTTGTGGTAAAGTTAGAACTGTCGAAAAGTTGAAATGTTTGAAACGACATTGTACATTAAGTAGAGCACCTATGACTGAGTAAATTTGAAACTACTTCGTGTTCTGATAAAAAGCACCTTAAATACAGGTGCAGCTAATACATAAAGTCAAAAAGGCTGCATATGTTGGCGCAGTATACTTCGTTTACTTTCTGTAGGGATTTGACCTTCAATTTGACCAGCGCAAAGTAGAAAAGAACAGCACTAGACCAGAAAAGGAGGGAGACAACTCTCGGCCAAACTCTTAACCGGTGAGGAGCGTATAATACGTACAGTACTACACGGAAAAATTGACCATTTTATCCACNCTTCTAACCTTTTCTTTTCCGCCGCTCCCACTGTCCATGTTTCGCACCCGCACAACGCCGTGCTCCAAACATACACCTTTAACAACCTTTTTCGAATTTTTAAATTAACCGTTCGCGAGCATAGAAGTGACTTCTTTTTATTAAAGGCGACACGACCCTGCGCTATCCTCTGCTTTATTTATTTAAAGCTATCTCTAGGTACTACTAATCTTTTGCCCTTGCACATCTATCCCTACAGTTGTACTGTCTTTAATGATATTGATGGCATAAGCTGCTATTCTCAAAAAATTAATTTCTTAGAAAAAACAGTTTTCTTTTATGGGGTGCATATGTACCCCGGATACGATTAGGGGTTATGATCGTATTAGGCATGGTTCTAGGGTTAAGTCAACCAACTAATTTTGTATGCTGCATTATGAAATTAAATAAATGGATCACGCGCAGTTTTTTAATGCGATTGCATGAATTAGAAGTAGGAACGAAATGCCCTGTGGATGTGAAAATGTCGTGAAGTTTTACGTTCTTTTTCTCTCGTATGAGTACGAACAAAGAAGGCGATTATTATTAGAAGTAACGGAAACGTAGTTTAAGTTGGTAACAATTCTGTACCGCGGGGCGAAAAATTCGCGCAGCAGAGCAGTCAGCGACCATATTCACTTTTTCATACGAAAGATAATAAAAGTGCGATGGCACTTACTTCGGCAGGAAAAGCGTATCCATTTATGGAATGCTCGGAGCCGAACTGGTCGTGAAGGCCGTAGTGAATGTGAATCTCCTGGAATTGGTACTTGTAGGAGAGCGGTCCACCCGTTACGTTTATATGATGTCGAGTGTCGTTATCTACAGTGAATATCACGCTATGACCGGTATTCATGATGGCTCCATTGACCTGAAATGGAAGAAAAAGAACCCTCTGTACTTGTTATGTGCACACTACACTATTATGAATGTAGAATACATTTCGATCTTCAACATCTTCTTACAACCAACACACACATTATTACATACGAAAGGTATTATTCAACAAAGTACCCTAGACAAAAATTTTTAGTCTCTTCCTAGTCTCTGAGAGTCTTTCAGAGTCTCTCAGTTATTGCCTAGGTGTTTTTATGGATCTCTCACAGTCTTTGTATGAGAGATTCGAACGATAAAATTGTTAATTCAGAGATTCGAGTCTCTCACAGAGAGACTGAATGAATAAAACTGAAAAATTGAGAGACTCGAGTCTCTCGTA